AAATTATCCCAACGACGGGATGCCACTTCCACAACTATGAGTTCTTCAAAGGTGTCGAGTACGAGAACAACTACACGTTCGACAACAACAACAAGTTGAGCAGGTACGAGGACAAGGTGAGCCAGGTTCTCAACCGAATCCTACGACACCAAGTTGGCAAGGCATTGGAAGGTCAGAGTTTGTACTGCGATGATGCCGGATGGGTGCCGATCGATGATGTTCTCAGATGTGAGGCCGTGTGGAAACATGATTATTGCAGACGTCCTCATGTATTCCTAGCACCCAGGGGAAGATCCAACGACAAGGGCTCATGGAATCGCGATGAGGCAAACTACAGGATGCAGTTGTTGTTTTTAAGATTATGTTTCACTGTGCCAGGTACGGTCGACGTGTCAGGGAGCAGATCCTAGCGTTTGGGGTACCTCCACGCATTGACCGCAAGAGCCCGACCTGTGTCAACAACAACATCGACAACAGCACCAAGATCCCTGTGGATGGTTTGCTACTATATCCCGTCGCAATCAGGGCGCCAACAGGACACAAAGCTGGGAAAAGGGATGACGTTACTTTGATGACATCGTTGCTTTCGAATCCCTTCGCCCCAAGCACACTGATTTCACTTCTAGTATGTTTTCACATTACACGTCGAATGCACCTCCGAAGCATCTGGAAAGAAGGTCTCATTCCTGGAGGTTTGGAAGTTGGACACCGAATGTTCACCTTTTTCAACCCATATGCCCTGTGGGACCATCAGTCTTGGAGCATTACAAAGAGCGTTGACACTCGAGGTGGAGGATACATGTGTCTGTACATCCCGACCGAGACCCTGATGGTTGAGTTTGGTGGACGCCTGACTGATTCAGGCCAGATTGTCACCGACAAGATCGTCCCATTTTCCAAGATCCGTGGCGGATGGATCCAAGACACAAAGGACCCCAAGGATCCTTCATGGCACCGGTTGTTCGTACCATCGGGCGACGACCAGGTTGTCAGGTCTGGAACTGTGAAGTCAAAGACCATGGTGACGAAGGAGTCCGTGTTGAGGATTGCCAACCAGTGCATCAACACCGAGAAGCAGCCCGATGATGAGCTGACGATGGAGGCAATGCATCTTGTCAACCAGCTGGAGAACCACTTGATCAAGGAGGGTGGACAGGAGCATTACATGGCGCGAATCAAGATCATTGACTACATTGTCGAGCGCAAGGCGGTCTCCGAGGCCGGATGTCGACATTGTCCACACTGCTTGAATGAAACGCCAACCAAATTCTCGGTGTGCCTTGAATGTTCGGCCTTATCGAATTCGACCACAACAAGAAGAAGATGCAGATGAGGCCAATAAGAAAGAGCTCGACGAAGAGGTGCGTCGACAGGAAGAGTCTATGTTCAACGACACCGTCCATGAGGCGCAAGAAACTGCAAAGCAGAACGACTACGGATTCAACCCTGATGAAGTTGATTATGATGAGGAGGATGAAGAAATGAAACAAGAGGCCGAAGAGGACGCGATCGTCGAAGATGAAGACGAAGAGATGGAACCTCCACCGGAAACTGAAGAACCGGTGAAATTACCGGCCTGGGCGCTGAATTTGGAGGCAGGGAGTAAGAAGATGCCCGTGAGAGGTCTTATCAACAATGATGTTTCTGAGACCGCGGCTCATCTCTTCGACAACGCCACCATCGCCAAAATCCTAGCAATGTACAAATTCTATTACAAGCAAAGGGTCACGATGAAGCCGGAAGAATATCATGACATGATGACAACCGGACCATTGGGACGCATTGACCTTGATGGATTTTGTCCATACACTGGAGATAACGAAGATGGATCCCTGAAGCGCCCCAGCGAAGATGAGCTTAATGCATTGTTTGAGGACAAGGAGACGGATGTGAAATGGTCCAAGAGAACAAAGCTCTACAATGGAAGACCCAAAGAGATGCTCATGGACGTTGTCCTGACCCTTGAAACCTATGAGAGGATGATGGAATATCTTGTCTTGGCAGGATACACTCCTGAGTCTTTGTCCTTCCTCATTCCTATGACCAAGCAGCAGAACACAATGGAGAAGAACAAAGTGATGAGAGAGAAGATAAGCGACTTTTTGAGAAGACTCTTGAAGGGAGCTTATCCAGATGCCGAGCACTACACCTATTTCAGGACTGGGAATCATGGTTTTCCGAATTGCATCGACATCCCTGCGTTTTCAGTATTCCTCAGTCTTCGTGAAAAGGAAGCTAGGATTGAGTTGTTGATCACTGCACAGCAGTGTGGAGTACATCTCCCAGCGATCTTTATTGGGAAGATAGCATACGCGTTGCAGTATGCGGAAGCTGAATCGGTTCGGGGAAAGATCGAGATGAAGACCAAGATGACCCCTAACTTGGAAGAGGAAGTCACGCAGACCGTCTTCAAATCGGTAGCTGACAATGCAGGTGTAAGGGAAGCAGCCGCTGATGCCGCCGCGAAATCAGGTCCAACACAAAAGGGACATCCCCCATCGGGGGAACCCAAAGCCAGAGGACCTAGAGCCCCACCAGCAAAGGCAAAGGCATCGGGTTCTGCTCCGTCCTCATCATCATCACCACAACCAAAGGCGATGCCAAGGACAGCGGGGCCAAGTTCTACTTCCTCCTCTTCTGCTGCCAAAGCCGCTCCCAAACATTCAAGACCATCAACATCGGAAAAGTCCCAAGCCACACCAAAATGGAAGAAAGTCCGTCGCGATGAGTAAACCATTACCTTCGCTGGATGATGATTCTGAATAAGACCAACTGAGAGGACTCTGAGCGTGGCAACGTCTTAATTCGCTTAGGTTCTCGCGATTTGTCTTCCCAATCTGCATGATATCTGCGTTGTACAGATGAATTATAATCTGCATGTGTCAATGTCCGAAAGCTATCCAAGCAGTCGCTACCGTCCATCGGACGAGCGACAAGCGCGCGTTAGATTAGTAGGATAGACATGGGTATGCAGTAGATTTATCTTGTACATAGTAGCCTAGCGCTTTGCCAACGACAGCGAAAGTAGGGGATCCCTGACCCTGAACGTCCATCGGACGTCGGTGATGGGTGAACCGAAATCTCTTTTCTTTTGAATAGGCGTAGGGCTGCAGGTAGACTTAATTCAAAGTTCCCTCTCTCGTGCCTACGACATGAAACTGTCGTAGACATGGGGGGTGTCAAAGGGAACTAGGCAGTAGTGTACATGCACTTGTGTATATAATAGCTGCCGGTCAAACAGACACTTGCCAATGATATATTGGCTCAAGCTTGGTAGAAAAGTGTTTGCTGCGCCTTCCGCTCATGCCGTCAGTTGCCTGCTACCGTACGCTGTGAGGTACTTGAGCAATTCCATAGAAACTATATCCCGGAACAAGGATTAAATTGTTCACACCTCAATTCAGAAGCTTCCCCTTACATAGAGTTCTTCTCACGGTCCTAAGTTATCTTGATATTTTTACCCCCTGAAGGCCTACATGCAATAATTTTCCTCAATTCAGAAGCTTGCTCTTACATAGAGTTCTTCTCACTATCCTAAGTCGTGTTTAAACTTCCCCCCCCTCAAGCCCTATATGGAATAGTATTCATCAATTCAGAATCCTCCTCTTACATAGAGTTCTTCTCACGATCCTAAGTCATTTTCAATACTTCCCCCCCAAAGCCCTACATGCAATAGTACTCCTCAATTCAGAAGCCTCCTCTTACATAGAGTTCTTCTCACGGTCCTAAGTCATGTAAAAAATTCCCCCTAAAGGCCTACATGCAATAGCATTCTTCAATTTCGAAGCTTCACCTTACAGAGAGTTCTTGTCATGATCCTCAGCTATTTCAAAACTTCCTCCCCAAAGCCCTATATGCATTAGTATTCATCAATTCAGAAGCCTCCTCTTACATAGAGTTCTTCTCACGATCCTGAGTCATTTTTAAACTTTCAGTTTGAGACAACAGTTCTTTACGTTTCCAAGATAAGTCTCCAAAGATGTTTTCCTTAGTTTTTGCATATAAGTTTCTGAAGATAAGTTACGGAAGATAAGTTACCAGATATTGTCTTAATCAGTTCCCGAATATAAGTTTCTGAAGATAAGTTACAGAAGATCAGTGACCGAAGATTGTTTTCATTAGTTACAGAATATAATATATGTTTCTGAAGATACGTTACGGAAGATAAGTGACCGAAAATTGTTTTTTAGTTACAGAATATAAGTTCTCGAATATCAGGTCTACAATAAGTTCCCGAATATAGTTTCATAAGTTTCCGAAGATAAGTTACTGAAGATATCCCTATTAGTGCCTGAAGATAGGTTTTGGAAGATAATTCCAGAAGATTAGTGACCGAATCCGTTCCCATTAGTTACCGAATACAACGTTGACCGGAGGATGTGGCCATCCCACCTGTGGTCGAGCCAGCAGTTCAACCAGATGTTCCAAAGCCAGCAGAAGCTTCTGCCCAGGCACTTTCAAGTGCACCGCTACGGCTACATCCATTTCATTGGATGTATAAACTGCAATATTCTCACAAGATGATGCCACTGATGCATGTAACAATGTAGACTCTTCTTCTTGTCCTTCAAGACAATAGGCAATAAAAGGCATAGATGGCATAGATTTTGATGAGGATGCAGTGAGCACATGATTGTGCAGGAACGATCCTCTGCCGCTGCAGACACTCGCAGCACTAAAGAAACACCAGCACTCGAGCGGAAGGACCGCAAGTTGCAATCTTTTTGCATTTGAACTTTGGTAGCCAGTCGCAGATGTGATCAGATGAGTTTTGCCTTTTTCACGGCGGCAACTCTATGAAAGATCTATAGGGCAGTCAACACACTAACATCAGGCTGTTTGCGTTTCTTGCTGTGAAGGCGGTCATTTGTGTCTTGGTTTGTCAGGGGTGCAGTTTCACTTGACAAGCCTTGGTTCGATTTCATTCTTCACTGTCAATGCAAGTCCCGTTAAGAGTGGGACTGCCGCAGCGACTGTAGTGGATGGGTTGTATCAGGAGGATGTGGCCATCGTGCCTGCGGTTGAGCCAGCAGTTCAGCCAGAGGTCCCAAAGCCAGAAGAAGTTTCTACCCAGGCACTTTCCAGCTCAACGCTGCATTCATTTCATTTTCATTGTATGAATAAACACATTTATTGCAATTGTGGTGTAAAATATGGCAACATGATGCATGTAATGGAGGCAAATGTTGGCAATAGTTGCCATAGTGGGAGATAGGCAGTGACAGACATACATATTGTAGACATGCTGTGGGAACTGATTGTGCAGGAACGATCCACTGTTGCTGCTGACTCTCCCAGCACTGAAGAGACAGCAGTACTTGAGCAGAAGGACCGCAAGTTGTCGTAGCTGGACAGAGTTAGAGGCAAATGTGATCGGAAGGGGTTTCATTTTCCACGGCCCCCTGAAAGATCTACAGCGCAGTCAGCACACACCACGCTGTTTGCGTTTCTTGCTGTGAAGGCGGTCATTTGTGTCTTGGTTTGTCAGGGGTGCAGTTTCACTTGACAAGCCTTGGTTCGATTTCATTCTTCACTGTCAATGCAAGTCCCGTTAAGGGTGGGACTGCCGCAGCGACTGTAGTGGATGGGTTGTATCAGGAGGATGTGGCCATCGTGCCTGCGGTTGAGCCAGCAGTTCAGCCAGAGGTCCCAAAGCCAGAAGAAGTTTCTACCCAGGCACTTTCCAGCTCAACGCTGCATTCATTTCATTTTCATTGTATGAATAAACACATTTATTGCAATTGTGGTGTAAAATATGGCAACATGATGCATGTAATGGAGGCAAATGTTGGCAATAGTTGCCATAGTGGGAGATAGGCAGTGACAGACATACATATTGTAGACATGCTGTGGGAACTGATTGTGCAGGAACGATCCACTGTTGCTGCTGACTCTCCCAGCACTGAAGAGACAGCAGTACTTGAGCAGAAGGACCGCAAGTTGTCGTAGCTGGACAGAGTTAGAGGCAAATGTGATCGGAAGGGGTTTCATTTTCCACGGCCCCCTGAAAGATCTACAGCGCAGTCAGCACACACCACGCTGTTTGCGTTTCTTGCTGTGAAGGCGGTCATTTGTGTCTTGGTTTGTCAGGGGTGCAGTTTCACTTGACAAGCCTTGGTTCGATTTCATTCTTCACTGTCAATGCAAGTCCCGTTAAGAGTGGGACTGCCGCAGCGACTGTAGTGGATGGGTTGTATCAGGAGGATGTGGCCATCGTGCCTGCGGTTGAGCCAGCAGTTCAGCCAGAGGTCCCAAAGCCAGAAGAAGTTTCTACCCAGGCACTTTCCAGCTCAACGCTGCATTCATTTCATTTTCATTGTATGAATAAACACATTTATTGCAATTGTGGTGTAAAATATGGCAACATGATGCATGTAATGGAGGCAAATGTTGGCAATAGTTGCCATAGTGGGAGATAGGCAGTGACAGACATACATATTGTAGACATGCTGTGGGAACTGATTGTGCAGGAACGATCCACTGTTGCTGCTGACTCTCCCAGCACTGAAGAGACAGCAGTACTTGAGCAGAAGGACCGCAAGTTGTCGTAGCTGGACAGAGTTAGAGGCAAATGTGATCGGAAGGGGTTTCATTTTCCACGGCCCCCTGAAAGATCTACAGCGCAGTCAGCACACACCACGCTGTTTGCGTTTCTTGCTGTGAAGGCGGTCATTTGTGTCTTGGTTTGTCAGGGGTGCAGTTTCACTTGACAAGCCTTGGTTCGATTTCATTCTTCACTGTCAATGCAAGTCCCGTTAAGAGTGGGACTGCCGCAGCGACTGTAGTGGATGGGTTGTATCAGGAGGATGTGGCCATCGTGCCTGCGGTTGAGCCAGCAGTTCAGCCAGAGGTCCCAAAGCCAGAAGAAGTTTCTACCCAGGCACTTTCAAGCCCAACGCTGCATCCATGTATGTGATATGGATTATTTGGATTTATTTGGATGTATGTTGCACTTGCCCCAATTTTGGTGTAAATTTCACAATGATTTATGTATAGATACTATCGCTGTCCTTCAAGACAACAGGCAGTAGAAGGACTAGATTTTGACGAGAATGCAGCAGCAAGTGATTGCACAGGAACGATCCTCTGTCGGTGCAGACCCTCCCAGCACTGCAGAAACAGTACTTGAGCAGAAGAACCGTAAGTTATCATAGTTAGACACAAATGTGATCAGAGGTTTTTTTTGCATATAATATAACATCAGGCTGTTTGCACTTCTATCATCTTCTATCATTGTTATGATTGATTGAATTGATTGCCGTTCATGCTCAATGCAGCAATACTGCCGGACAGTCACTTAGAAGATTTTTTTTTCGGATACGTGCCGGGAAGGATCTTCTAAGTGTTAGACTTAGAGGATCATGTTTATTGTTAAAACCTCACACTTAGAACCTTAATGTTGAACAAACATTAATAATGATTACAATATAATTGCAAATGCATTGATTGATTTGAAAAAAAACGTTCAAAAATTGATACAACTACGTTAAATTACAATCAATTCATTGTACTGATCACAGCTTTATACACGTTTTCGATTTTGGCAAAGTTATGAGTGTGAGCACTCGCAAGGGCACAGACAAACGTGAGGTTGCACAACATCGGTTCATATACAAAACTATTTATGATATAACAAATGTGTACTTGGTGAGTATGTGCATGTATAAGGTTCTGAGTGTGAGCGCTCGCAAGGACACAGACATATGTAAGTTTGTACAACTTGGGTGAATATACACAAGTATCTACAATATGATCTGTGTTTACTTGTGAATATATGTATGTAAGACAAGCTTCGAAAGGTGAGCACTCGCCAGGAAACAGACAGATGTGTGTTCGCACAACATGGGTTCATACACAAAAGCATCTGAAATATGATATGTGTATACTTGTGAGTACTGTATATGTATGCATCCAAAGAGGTTCTAAGTGTGAGTACTCGCAAGGGCACAGACGGATTCGAGTTGCACAGTTTACGTTAATATACAAGCGTATTTATGATATAATGAATGTATACTTGTGAATATATGTATACAACATGATACAAACAAGAGATTCTAAGTGCAAGCAATCAAAAGGGCACAGACATACGTAAGTTTGCACAACATCGTTTTATACACAAGAGATTACAAGAGTGTTTATGATGTAACACATGCATACTTGTGAGTTAAGGCATGTATACAAAGAGCTTCAATGTGTGAGCACTTGCAAGTGCGCAAACATGAGTGATTTCGCACAACATGGGATCATATACAAAACTATCCATGATATGATATGAAACTAATACTTGCGAATATATGCATGTATACAAAGAGGTTCTAAGTGTGAGCGCCCGCAAGGGCACAAACAAGTATGAGAGTGCACAGCAAGGGTTGATATACAAAAGTATCTGTGATATGATATATGCGTACTTGTGAGCATATGTATGTATACAAAGAGGTTCTAAGTGTGAGCACTCGCAAGGCGAGAGGAATACCTTAGTTCACACAACATGAGTTCATATGCAGGAGTATCTATTATACGCTAAGCGTATACTTGTGAGTATATGAGTACGTAAACAAAGAGGTTCTAAGTGTGAGCACTTGCAAGGGCACAAACAGATTCGAGTTGTGCAACTTGCGCAACTTGGGTTCATATACAAGAGTGTTTATCTCTGGTTCTGGGTTTATCATTGAGCACGCAGGAAGTGCGTAAACCGATTTCGCCACTTCACGCCACTTCACGCCACTTGACCCACTTGAAGTGGCATGAAGTGGCATGAAGTGGCATGCTCACGGTGGGACATTACGACTACGACTGCTGTTACGACGACGCGTGCTACTATTAGTACTACTGCTACTACTGCTGCTGCTGCTGTTGCTGCTGCTACTGCTACAGCTACGACTACTACTACTGCTAGTACTACTACTCCTACTATTACTACTGCTACTACTACTTCTGCTACTGCTGCTAGTACTACTACTGCTACTACTACTACTTCTTCTACTAATGTGACTACGGCTACGACTACTCCTTTTACTATTACCACCACCACCACCACGCCTACTACTACTACTACTATTACTACTACTACTACTGCTACTACTACTACTACTGCTACTCCTACTACTACTACTACTACTACGACTACTACTAACTCACTCACTGCACTCTTCACACTCCACACTTCACACTTCACACTGCACTCTTCGCACTCCACACTTCACTTCACACGGTGCTCTTAAGACTGCACACTTGGCACTTCACACTTCAAACTTCACAGTCCACACTTCACACTTCACTCTTCAAAACTGCACTCTTCACGCCCCACACGTCTCACTGCACTCTTCACACTTCACACTCCACACTTCATCTCATCTGAGCTCCTCTCACCTTAACCCAGCTCATCTCTTCTCATCTCATCTCTTCTCATAGATCACGCAAGCTTCCATGAATCACTTCCCAGTACTACTACGAAGGACCTTGCATGCGCCGTGCTCCAGCCAGGGCTGTGCGTGCTTTGTGCGAAGCTGTGCGAAGCTGTGCGAAGCTGTTGTAGTGTTGTGGCCAAGAACATAAGAACATGACCTGCGCGCGACACCGGTGCAATGCAAACACTTTCCTCAGACTTCACATTGCACTCTTCACACCCCACACTCCACACTTCACACTTGCACTTCATCTCAACTCATCTCATCGGAGCTATTCTCATCTCATTCCATGTCTTCCCATATGTCAGCTAAGTTCTTCTTGGCTATTTTCATGTCAAGTACTTTCCAGTAATGATGTCTACTACAAAAGCTTGCAAAAACTAGTTCCCAGTACTACTCTGTACTACAAAGCTTGCACAAGACACGTTCCAGCACTACTTTGTACTACAAAGCTTGCACAAAGCACTCCCCAGTACTACTTTGTACTACAAAGCTTGCACAAAGCACTCCCCAGTACTACTTTGTACTACAAAAGTTGCATAAAACAACTCCCAGTACTACTTTGTACTGCAGGGCTTGCACAAAACACTTCCCAGTACTACTTTGTACTACAAAGCTTGCACAAAGCACTCCCCAGTACTACTTTGTACTAGAAACGTTGCACAAAGCACTCCGCAGTACTACTTTGTTCTTCATTGCTTGCACAAACTACTTCCCAGTACTACTTTGTACTACAAAGCTTGCACAAAGCACTCCGCAGTACTACTTTGTACTACAAAAGTTGCACAAAGCGCTCTGCAGTACTACTTTGTACTACAAAGCTTGCACAAAGCACTCCGCAGTACTCCTTTGTACTACAAAGCTTGCACAAAGCACTCAGCAGTACTACTTTGTACTACAAAGCTTGCACAAAGCACTCCGCAGTACTACTTTGTACTACAAAAGTTGCACAAAGCACTCTGCAGTACTACTTTGTACTACAAAGCTTGCACAAAGCACTCCCCAGTACTACTTTGTACTACAAAGCTTGCACAAAGCATTTCCCAGTACTACTTTGTACTACAAAAGTTGCACAAAACAACTCCCAGTCCTTCTTTGTACTACAAGGCTTGCACAAAGCGCTCCGCAGTACTACTTTGTACTACAAAGCTTGCACAAAGCACTCCGCAGTACTACTTTGTACTACAAAAGTTGCACAAAGCACTCCGCAGTACTACTTTGTACCACAAAGCTTGCACAAAGCACTCCGCAATACTACTTTGTACTACAAAGCTTGCACAAAGCACTTTTGCAGTACTACTTTGTACTACAAAAGTTGCACAAAGCACTCCCCAGTGCTACTTTGTACTACAAAGCTTGCACAAAGCACTCCGCAGTACTACTTTGTACTACAAGGCTTGCACAAAGCACTCCGCAATACTACTTTGTACTACAAAAGTTGCACAAAGCACTCTGCAGTACTACTTTGTACTACAAAAGTTGCACAAGGCACTCTGCAGTACTACTTTGTACTACAAAGCTTGCACAAGGCACTCCGCAGTACTACTTTGTACTACAAAGCTTGCACAAAGCACTCCGCAGTACTACTTTGTACTACAAAAGTTGCACAAAGCACTCCCCAGTACTACTTTGTACTACAAAGCTTGCACAAAGCACTCCCCAGTACTACTTTGTACTACAAAGCTTGCACAAAGCACTGCCCAGTACTACTTTGTACTACAAAAGTTGCACAAAGCATTCCGCAGTACTATTCTGTACTACAAAGCTTGCACAAAGCACTCCACAGTACTACTTTGTACTACAAAGCTTGCACAAAGCACTCTCCAGTATTACTTTGTACTACAAAAGTTGCACAAAGCACTCCGCAGTACTACTTGGTACTACAAAGCTTGCACAAAGCACTCCCCTTGTACTACA